GGGATGACCCACAGAGGTCCCTTCCAACCCCTACCATTCTGTGATTCTGTGAAACACGGCCCCCTTTCCCAAGATCTTCCCACACGTTTATCTCCTGCGGTCTCCAGTGCTGGTGTTTTCCCCACTTAAATGGGTGACTGCCCCGAAAACTAGCGAAAGGGAACGCGGCGGGGCGTGTCGAGACCTGCGCAGGGGCTGGGTTAGGTGACTCCAGAGCCCCCTTCCTGGCAAGCTTTACTTCTGCGGTTCTCTTGCTAGGCAGCTGAACTGGAACAGGGAATATTTGCCCTTCTTGCTGAATATTGGTCCGGAGAGGAGGTCAAGGCTGGAGGGAGGCACAGCCCCCTGAAGCATCGGCTAGCAGATGGTGGCCCTCTGGAATTCCCAAGGAGCGAATCGTTGGGAGACAAGGAGCAAACGGATGGTTTATACAGATGGGGAAGTGAGGAGAGTCAAAAACGGAGTCTCCTGGCGAGACTACAGAGTCTGCTTTAACAGCCAACCATACTACAGAGCTGCTTCGCACCTCGGCTCAGCTCCTTGTCACCCTGCTGTGACCCATGCGACTCTGCATTTATGAGCAAGGGCATTAGCAGCAAGCGCTCCTTTCTGTTTGCATGTTTAGGTTTAGCAAGATTTTTAATTTTTCGAGAAAATAAGCAGGAAAGCAGGTTGTCGTGCGGTAAAGCAGTAGCTTTAACTGATGAGGCGAACGGCTTCTTTTTTATTTTTCAGTCTTGTTATTTCAGATTTAATCAGGACTGCGATTGAGAAACCAGTGTTTTCTTCCAGCTGCTGCTTAGCTGAGTTCATTGAAGTGAAAAACCTCGGGTACATTGAACTCACGTAGCTGCCTTTCACTTTAAATATTGATGTTAAGTGCATTTCTTCTGAGTCTGAATCTCAGCATTAGACCTGAGTAATTGGAGACAGGCGGTAGCAAAGTGCTAGCCATTAGAGCAGCACAGTAAATATTCCCTGCAGCCTCTAGGACAGTCGTTTCCCCTGCTTCCTCCTGCAACTTAGATTTATTTTTTTCTTCCTTCCTTCCTTCTTCCCTTTTTCCCTCCCTTTCTCCCTTCTTTCCACCCTGCCTCCCTCCCTCCATCCCTCCCTTGCTCCCTCTTGGACCCTATCCCTCCCTCACTCCCTCTTGGACCCCGCATCTGAATTTCTGGACTTCACGTTGCTTGGCCCCTTGCACCCGGGGTGCGTTTGTGGCATGTTCCGTGGTATCGTGGGGGGTGGGAGCCACCATCGTCTTCTTCTCGCGTAGTCCCTGACCAAGCAGTTGCTTCTGTCTGTGTCATCTGCAGCAGCAGCGTCGAGCCCATTTCTGCCAACGCAAATGAGCTCTAGCAGTCGTTGTTAGTGCCATTAAATCAGATTTATTGTAACGACACAGTAACATGAGCAGGCCTAAGTGAATGTTAGGTACTTACCCTAAATTTTCTCGAGAAATCCTGGGGAGGGTTTGGTACCACACGTACCACTGCTCCAGCCCTGGGACGCAGTGGTCTCTGCCCCTCATCCCCAGGGCATCTGAACGCTTTTGTCAGGACCAAGGCTCCCAGAGGCCAGAAATACTTTGAAAACAGTGCTTGAACTCCAGTGTCATTCCAGCAGTTTTAAGAATTCTCCCCCATCGTGTTTCTCCCTAGAAGACGAGCCGCTTTCCTCCAGCCCTGCCAGGCAGCTCTTCTCTTGACTCTCCTAGACCAAGCAGGAGTTAACACCCTTGGGTTTCCAAACCTGGTTTTTATTTGTCAGCCATGCGCCCTTTTTTAAAGTGTTTTTTTCCTTGTTTCTACTATGCATTTTATTGCCTCGAGGTCATTTGTTACCAATGCAGGTTAATCCTTCAATTAGCTATAGTCAATTAGTTATCTGACTTCTAAGCCTCTCCTCTGGCCTCCTCCCGAAACTAGCATAACAGTTTTACCATTCTAATTTTCTTGTGTTAGCTGATATTTTTCTTATGGTATGGCTATATTGAATCTGGGAAAAGGGAAGAGTCAGGCTGTTGGGCAGTCTGACCCGCGTTGTGGTAATGAAAGGATCCTTTTTTGCACAGATGTGCTTCCTGAGAGCTTGTGTGATAAAAAAAACTACCTAAGGGTTGCAGAGTTATTCCCACCTTAACAGGTATTTCATTATAGCGATGAATATTAATTCGTAGGTACTTATTATAGTAGAAGAGATCCAAAGCCTGAGTCACGGACGTAGGCAAGAACAGTTCTGCTTACCCTCAGTGGCCATCGTCCTCCTTTGTGCCCGGGCTGAGCTGCGTTCTCGGCGTCTTTGTGTTTGGTGCTGCCTAACCTGGGGGGTTTAATTAGTTTTTTTGTTACAACGTGAAATTCCTGTCAAATGGACTGAAAGCACTAATCTGTTTCAGAGGAACCGTAGCTGATTGATGTTTTCGTGCGTGAGTTAGGCAAATGACTGACAAGGATTGCTGAGTTTTGCTTGGAGATTTGGGTTCGGTTAAATGCGACACTCACAAAACTCATCACTGCATACAGCCAGGGGAACCCCCGTGGGAGAGAAGAGAGCACGCTGAGATGCCGGGAGAACGTGGGGTTGGTGCGTGTTTCTCCTGCAAAGCATAGCAGGGGTGTCTGTGAGTGGGGCAAATACGCAATTGAAAAGGTGGTTCGACTCAAGCTCAAAAGATGGGGAGTGGCACCTTGATCCTATTTTCCTTGCACCACAGAATCACAGAATGGTGGGGGTTGGAAGGGACCTCTGTGGGTCATCTAGTCCAACCCTCCTGCCGAAGCAGGGTCACCTACAGTAGGCTGTAGAGGACCTTGTCCAGGCAGGCACAGTCCATGCCAAACACCTCAGCCTAAGGGAACGGCCATACCCCTGCACACTAAGGGTCCCTCCAGCCAAATAGCTCATCTCCAGCATTGGCCCTAAAACAGGTGCTGCAGGAACCAGCGCGTGGGCTGGAGCACCTCTCCTACGAGGACAGGCTGAGGGAGCTGGGGCTGTTCAGCCTGGAGAAGAGGAGGCTCCGGGGTGACCTTAGAGCAGCTGCCAGTGCCTGGAGGGGCCGCACGGGAGGATGGGGGGGGGCTTTTCACAAGGG